TTATTAAAACAAAAGATTAATAGAACTCTGGAAGAAAAAATATATATAGAGAGAGAGGGAACTTACCGTAGTAGCCGTGAATAGAGTTGACGGCAACAGGCGACCGGCGACCGGCGACCGGCAACGAGAGCAGTGAACCCAAGAACTTTCTGTCTTTGGTTCTAGGGCTTTAATCCTAATTCTCAATCAGGGCATCAGGTTTTCTTAAAATAAATAAATAAATAATAATTAAAAGCGCGCCAAAATTTTGAGCAATTAATCTTATATACACATAGATGTAGTTCCAAATACTCAATAAAAAATTAGTGTAGTGTGCGTATGTGTCAGTGTGACTTAATATTTCTTGTCAAAAAAGTTATATTTAAAAGTAATTATCTTTAAATTAATGCATAATCTTTTTAAAACAAAAAACATCTGTCAGACGTTGTTTCCGAGACATTATCTATATCTATATCTATACTATCTTAAAAGCATGACTCCTAAACTGAATGTTGAATTATTATAATATCCCCAATTAAATATACTCAATTTAATTATTTTTATTGTATTAAAAGTAGATACCCTTTCATATTAAAGGATTGTGATTTTCTCAAAGAGATGTGACTTTTCCGAAAGGTTGCGACTTTTTTGACAGGTTTTGACATTTTCGATGAGTTGTGATTTTTTTGAAGGGTTGTGACTTTTCCGAAGAGTTGTGCATTTTCCGATGAGTTGTGACTTTTGCAAAAGGTTGTGATTTTTCGAGAAAAGGCCCAAAATAGTCTTTCATCTTTGGGTTAAGACTCAAAGTCATCCTTGAGTTTTCACATGGAGCATTAATAGTCCCCCATGTTTGCAATATTAGTGCACTTTTGGTCCTCTCCAAAATTTTGCCTATTTTTTAACATTGATTTTATCCATAATTTATGTATGGAATGTTCAATCGTCATTTTATATATTTAGTATAAATAATAACTCCATGTGAGAAAATGTGAGAAGAAGAACACTTTATTTTGTTTAGTAAAAATCGTATGGTAGGTAAAGTCGAAAGGTTCATCAAGACAATTTCACTTGCAATAGTACAGTTTTTTCTTCTCTTGCAACGTCATATGTTAAGATGTTCTTAGTTTAGTTGTAGTAATATTTCTATTGAACACAACAAGGTGTTCTTCTTCTCACCTTCTCTCACATAGAGTTATTATTTCTACTAAATATATAAAAAGACGATTGGACATTACTTACATAAAATTGTGGAAAAAATTAATGTTAAAAAATAGGTAAAAGTTTAGGGGAGGACCAAAAGTGCACCAATATTGCAAACATGAGAGACTATTAGTGCTCCATGTGAAAACTCAAGGATGACTTTGCGTCTTAACCCAAAGATGAAGGACTATTTTGGACCTTCTCTCTGATTTTTTCGATGAACAGTGACTTTTTCAAAAAGATTGTAACTTTTCTGATAAGGAACAATTAACACTAATTCATACTACTATTTGTTAGCTATAAAAAGAGGGTTTCTTCTCACTTTTAAACTACGATTTTTTAAAATTTTATATTCTTCTTCTTCTTAAAAAATCTCAAGGTTATTTGCAACAGTTGATTAAGTTCAAAATTTAACGAAATATGAGGTACCATATAAGAAAGAGTTGGTGAACAAATTGTAGCAAATCATTCATAAATTCACATTCGTATTTTTTCTTATGATTTCCATGAGTTAACAGTGACAAAAAGTTGTGGGAAAGACAATAATAATAAACAACTATGAAAAATGTCACATGATTTGGGTAAGATATTTCTTCTTTGGTTTTTTATTTTTTAGTTTTTTTACCCTCAAATGAAGCAGTTTCTTTCTGATGTTGCTAAAACAACGGGCATCAACGTAGTCCATTGAATCATTAGTTTTGATGCTAAATCCACTATTTCAAAAATAGTTTTTCACTTTTACTTATAATATGATAATATAGACATGGTAATAATTATTTTTTAATAGATATGTAAGTAAAAAGGAACGAAGAAAGTAAAGTGTTGGTGACAAGAGATTTTAATCAAATGGAACACTACAGTGAATATAGCATGAACATTTATTTTCGTCTTCCTTCTTCATTGGCTATGTATCGTTCCATATATTTTTTTTCCTATTATTTTGTGTTCATTTTAATTTGAGAAAATTTTATGTCACAAGATACACTCCTTGTTAGCTATACAAAAATAGATAAGAAAATAGTGATTGATCATAAAATAATCTCAAATTAAATTAAAGATTCTATAAACAATACTTTAAATTTTATTCATCTATTAATTTTTATTATTGAAAAAGTTTAATAGTTTATATCACGATATAACTTCTATAAGATACTAGATACTTTCATTAGGCAACAACTATATGATATGTATGTGGCATGAAAAAGGAGAAGACTACAATTCTACAAAGATACGGTAGAAATTTAAAGAAATGAAATATTTTTCACCAAAGGTGATGTTGTTCATATATTAAAATTAAATTATGCTACTGAAATATATATGTATATATAAAACAAAGAATTGGTCAAGCTAAATAATTGACATACACTCAAGCCTCAATTTAACCATCATTCGTTATAACAATAAAATATCTTCTTTTTTTGTAGAACTACCTCTCTGTGATAGTCTTACTCAAATATTAATTGGTAAAAGATAGATTACGTATAAAGATAAAATATTGAAATATTTATGGTTATCCTTATTAGTGTCATGCACATACTAAATTTCAAGTATAAATATTTAAGAGAAAAATTATACTTAAATGTTGCCCATCATTTATGTTCATAACCTCAAAAGGAAAGACTATTGGTGACATTTTTGTATTGATATTTTTTTAAAAAAATTTGTTGGATATATTTGTTTACAAAATTGAGTGAAGTAAATAATAATATTACTAAAGAAATGTCAATTTCTCCCCATATATAAACTTTGAATGTATTTTGAAATATTTCAATAATATCTGGTCATTTTGATCTCAAAATACAAGTAACTTTATCACAAACTGTATTAATCATTTAAAAACACTTGTCCTATGTTTTTAAAATTATAATTATTTACTAAAAAACTTTAATTTAGTAATATTAATTCTATTTTACAAAATTGTATACTATATATGATACACACGTGCAATGCACGTGCCGTGAAACTAGTCGACTCAAATATAGCAAATTCAAATACCCAAAAAATGTGGAAGGGAGTAAGAACAACAAACTAGTGCGATAATCAAAACATAGTAAACAATTGTCGATATTGAATATCAAAAGTAAGAACTACAATAACACGACTAGTGCAAAGCAAAGCAATGCATTATATATATGTAAGAAATTGTAATAACAACTGCAAGGTGTAGTCACCCAAACACATGAATAGGTGATATCAGATATCAAAAGCCAAAGAATATTTGGATAGGCTAAAACTACAACCGACACATTGCTCTATACTACCACCAAGCCAAATATATGAATAGACTAGTAAATAGTTATAAGACAACTCTTAACTACCTACCATCCTTTATACTAATTTGGGACTTTTATAACCTCTTATGTCTTATCTAAGGTCATGTCTTCGGTAAGTTGAAAATGTGTCATATCCTATTTAATTACATCTCCCTGATACTTTTTTCGGCCTGAGAGTTCTTGATGGCCAACATTCTGCTCCATACAACAAAGTCACTCTAACCACCACTTTATAAAACTTACATTTAACTTTTAGTGGTACCTTCTTGTCACACACAACACTACATGCAAGCCTCCACTTCATTGTGTGACTTTAATTAATTTCAAAGTCCTACATATTAGAATAATAATTAATTTATAATTGAGGAAAATAGTAAACGACAATTTGTCTATTGTAGAGTTTTTTAATTTAATGAAAGGAAAATTTTTCAATCAACATTTTCAAGGATCTTCATGCTTTGAATGTAGTGTAGATACATGAAACAAAAATCAAGATTTTAAGATTTTAAGATTTTTTCAATTTAGTAGGTTAACACAAAAAGAAAAACATGCATTCATTTGTTAGACGATGAAGGTATATATACGTCATTTATAACAGTAGGTTAACACAAAAAGAAAAACACGCATAATTTGTAAGATGACGAAGGTATATATACATCATTTATAACAGTAGGTTAACACAAAAAGAAAAACATGCATCATTTGTTAGACGATGAAGTTATAAAACGACAATGATATATATATATATATATATATATATACCACTTTTTCAATGAAGGATATAGCTTCTATATCGAAAAGTTAAAGGGATATATTTTTCCATTTTCCCTATAGTATATTTGATGGTCGCCACAAATAATTACATTATACATTTTTCAACCATTAATTTTGTAGACGGTTATATAGTGTAAAAATCACAAAATGTAAATAAACATTAATAACAGAAAGAAAAGTGGATTTTGCTGTTGAATTTTACTTGAAAAGAGATGAACTAGTTAAATGTGACTGGAGCTTGACTAAAACTTGGGGTGGGGGAGGGGGGTGCCAATATGTATCAAATTTTCATCCTTTTTTTTTTCCTTCTCTAAGAATCTGACTTTTCAAAATTTGAAATTACAAATGCATGATAAATCATCATGTCTGGCTCATTTGGTGTGAGGGATAAGCATAAATAGTGTTGGGATAAAATTTAGATGTTTTGTTTGGTTGGCATGTTTGGATAACTTATCCCACCATTTATAGCATAGTGATGGAAAAAGTTATCCCAGGATAACTAACTCCAGGATAGTTTATCCTGGGATAACTAGTTCCCAACCAAACGACGTATTCTTAAACGCTTGTTCAATATCACACATTACTGTATGACTGTATTGTGTCATACAGGTTTACTTCGAAACTGAAACAAATTTTCACTGTGATGCCTAGAGGCTCGACCGCGTTTTTTTCAGAATTATTCCAAAGATGGTACAACCTAGGGAGTATTATATCATGAACACTATGCCAATAGACGTCTCGGATCCAAATCTGAGTGTCAATCTGGATTAAAATGTTAACAGTAACATCAATGGGGACAAAATGTTGATAATTTATTGATGTTGGGAAAAATTAATACAGAAGAAAATCAGAGAGACAAAAAGGGGATTCTGCCAATGAAGCCTGCACCACAATCAGCTACTAATAAACAAAAAAGCATAAGGGAAATGCAACCTTATCATTTCTTCTTTCCATCTATGTTTGAGATCTATTCATATGTTGAGGCTTGAGAGGTTTCTTCCCTATTTGATTACTGCAGAATCCAGATGTGAGACCAGACCCAAACTTCACAGCAGCATTTAGCCCCATCTGAGTATTGCAGAGCCCCACGTAAGGCCAGCACCAAATCCAGCAGCAGCAATGACATGACCTGCCTGCACTTTCCCACTTCGAACAGCTTCATCCAGTGCCAAGGGTATCGATGCAGCACTTGTATTGCCATAATTTGCCAAATTTGATATGACATGTTCTGATGGCACCTCCAAACGTGTTGCTACTGCATCAAGAATCCTTTGATTTGCCTGCATGTAGCCATTCCTGATAAGTTGCTTCACTGAAGTTGATGCAGGATGATAACTCGAAAGAAGCATTAAGAAACTTCCCGCGAATTATCTCCAGTTGTTATTTGCCATTAAATAGTAAGAAAATCTTTTAAAATGAACGTCAGACTCTAAATGGTCACAGATTTACTCATGTTATATTGAACATGAAATGAGTTTCTACATCAATAAAGCAATTAGATAAAGAGAATACCGTCTATCATAAAAGATGAATTAAGGGTCAAACTAGTAAAGCAACCGGGAATATAATTATGTATTAACCATATTGTGCTTTTACAAACACATGCCAAATTGCAGCTTTGTCAATAAGCAGCTTACTCTTTTCTTTCTTACTTCTCGTTTTGATTTTTTTTATACTCTCGACTTCTTTTTTATAAAGATATTTTGCTACTCCTAACTTATTTTTTATTCTTTAATATAAACACTTTGTGATGCATGTGAAATTTATGGGGTCACTTTGGTCCCCAAGTATGAGAATTGACGACGAATTTCAAAAATAATGTGCCTCACCTGAAAAAAATGAGGCAGCAAAGTGTACTTTAATCCAAGTAACTAAAGCAACTTGAAGATGAGAATATATGCATAACTTTTCTATATATTGTTCCAACTCGGACTCAAAAGAAAACATGGGGAAAAGCGTAGGACAACCATGTTCTTATTATCTTGCTCTGGCAGCATAATAATTATGTATATTTTAGTCAAACGTGTGTGGTTGTTATACTTGTTCTTTTGTTCTGCATTTCTCAGGCAATAATCACACATCCACTAGCTTAGTAAAATAACTTTAATCCCAATCTCATATGCTTTGTTTGATAGGATATAGAGTAATAGTTGAGTTGAATTTGAAGAGTAATATAAGTAAAGGTCTATGCCTTGGGCACATAAGCAGTTCTTCATTTAACTGTCGGAAGTTCCTCCTGTTAACAACTGCCCCTGGCCGCCTACAAACATGATCTGGCCTTTACCCAACCAAATATCAGCTTTGAGAAAAACATATAAAATTAGAGAACAGGAGGATGGGAATCACAAGTATCAGAGCATTTTGTCGCTAATCGTTCATAAATGTATTTCATTCAGTAAAAACCATAACAGCTTCTAAGAGAAGGTCATTAATCTATATTTAGGTTTGACTAACTCAGTCAAATTTGTATCCCAGAAATCCATACCTGGTGGAGAAGCAGCCAATCAATTTTGGACCTAGGAAGACCTGCGTTCTCTAAAGCTGCTTCTATTGATTGTGGCACAGCACGAACAGCAAATCTAAAGACCTCTTTACCATTCATCTGAATGCAAGAGTAAGAGGAACCTGTTGGTGGAAAACCAAAAGCAGAACCATTTGTACCAAACGCTTTATCTGTTTCATTATCTTTGATCGAAGCATTCAAGTGCCTGAATATGAAAACACTCATTTAGTGGCCCTCTAAAAAAGAAATCAGGGGAAATATTCCTAACTATGATAATAAATACCTTTGACCTTCACCATCACTATGCAAGTCAAAACCAAATAAACCATCTTCTCCAATATCACAGGCCTACAAGAGTGGATTTATATAAATTTTGAGAAACTTAAATGTGCAAATTAGCATTGAGCATGGTCAATAGCTAGCAACAACAGAACAAAAAACAAGGCATCAAGAACATGAGTTAATACAAGAAGAAGATGCAACATCAGACATCTACACTAAGGAATAACACTCCTCAATCAATAGTGCATCTACGTTATATTTCAAGCTATGAAGTATATCAAGAGTACATAGTAGTGAAGAAGCTTAGATTGACTGAAGACCTCAACTAGTTATTGATTTGCAAAAATGCAAGAGCAATCTCTGTTCTTTCGTTGATTAGACACCTTCATTTCATCATCGAGGTGAAAAATGTCAAACAGGTAAACTGGGAGTGGTATTATTGAGCCTATACTGATCTTGCCCTCGGTGATCCATCTTTGTGCACAGATGAGTAGGCTCAGACATACCAAAAAGAAATATCCATTTAGTATGTTGAATCATTTAAAAATGAGCGTTAGGTTGGGAACTGGTTCTTAATTGACCGTTTCAAACTTAATGCCAAACCCAATCAAATTGCAGGTCAGACGGTTATACCACAGAGTCACAGATAACAGCATGAGGAATCCTTGTCTGACTGAGACCAAGCCCGGGGGGGGGGGGGGGGGGGGGGGGGGACTCTCTAACCTACTTATCTGAGTTCTGACCTATAAATACACAACACATAGTCATCACGAACTTAACACACCAACCAAAACAAGGTTAACTGGATGGATTAAACTTATTAAGAGAGAAAAAGTGTGAGATCAACCCCACCGACCACGCCTGACCTTACTGGTGTGAAAAAACATTGAGGCATTTCCAGCGGCCAGCTTGAAAGGTTGGCCCCACAAGCGCAAACCACTGCCTTTAGGCTTTAACCCGCCCTTTTCTCCAATAATAAAATAAAATATTTATTACTCCACCATCAACATTCCCTCCACACATTGTACTGCTCCTACCACCACGACCAATCATTCCCACAATTCTTGGCTAGTTCAAACAGTTCTGGTCCTCCTTGGTTTTCAACCAATTTTATTTGTTGTAATCCACTTACTAACAGCGGAGTGGAGAAAATAACGAATCAAACTGTCTTATAATCCCCAGTCACAATTTTCAGGAATTCCTTCTGTCCAATCACCCTTGTTTAGAACTTGTATTCTCTTTGGTACAAATAGAAGATGTGTAAATAAAAAGGTAGACTTGAGCTTTGTGGAAGTGGTTTTTAACATTTGACAGAGAAATAGGTAATTACATCTGGAAGGAGAAGAGTAACACACACAGCTGCCCAAGATGGCTGCTATGCTTGGAGAGGGGGAGGGAGACAGCAATAGGGAGTCACTTCATTGGTCATAACCTTAGGTACAATCTGGATGGGTTCCTTGAAGGAATTTCAGTTGCAACATGAATGTTTCAGAATAACTGTAGAGTATAAGGTTACAGCAAGTTTCAATTTCCTCTTTTCTTTTGTTAACCATGGTAAGCACAGAGCAATTGACCAACAACATCGCATAGGATTCAACCTCTAGACTGAACACCAGGCAAAAAAAATCCAGTAAAGTTACCCTTGTCTCAAAAAAAATAAAAATTCCAGTATGTGACAGTGAAGTTTGTGTATATTGTTTGGACGAATAATCAGGTGAAGTAGATCCATGGGTCAGTTTTCTTAACAGCCGAGAATCCTTGAGGGGTAGTGGTGCACGGTTCGAAACTCAGGGGATAATGGGCTGGTCCCTATACTTTTCTCCACTTAAGCATGGTTCGAATACGTGACATGTGCTGTTCCACACATTGCACTCTCACCACTAGACCAAAGCCTAGAGATGGTCCATGGATAAGCATTTCAAGAATAAGAAATTTTGAAAATGTCAGAAAAGACAATACACAGGAAGTATCTCATAGTCAATGTTTTTTTTTTTGAGAAATGAAGCCGGAGGAATTTCAAATGATTTAGTACATAGCGCCTACAACTCCCGACATACGAAAGCAAAACTAAGAAAATCAACTTTGAGCTATGAAAGGAAAGCTCTACACATGTATCACGTCAGACTTCCAAACCACACATATTTACACCAGGTGGTCAACTTTGTGCCCTTGTATTATTTGACCATTTTTTCGAAATTAGACCCATGGTCTGAGTACCAGTTTTGAACTTTGAAATACAGACCAGGTGGCCACTTTCGAACTTCAGATCACTGGTCTAATTTTGAAAGAGTGGTCAATTTCTAAATACAAAGCCACAGAAGAGGTTATTTGTGTAAATCAGACCCCAATAATATTTAAACCAACCCAAATTGTGACGAAAATCAGCCACCAATGAGGCTGAGACATTTCTAATTTTACACATGTCTAGTGAATATCCCCAACCCAACCTCAACCCTGGTGAAGAAAAGAAAGACCTCATGAACTTCATCAATTTAGACTGCAAGAAGAGTACAGAAGAATCTAAAGATACTTGAATCAGTAAAGAGGATTCATCCCTCTTTTTACTTGATGAAAAAAAAAATAGGATAGTCATTGGAAAACTGCAACAACTAAAAATCATAATTCACTAAGGGGTCATTTGGTAGAGTGTATCCTTGTGTATTACTAGTACCTTGTTTGGTACTCTTTTTCAACCTATGTAATGCTTGCATACACTCTATCGTGTATTAAGGTGGGTATTACTAATACCATGGATTTCTAGGTATTAGCAATGCAATGGTTTTAATGCATGCATTAGCATTAAAGACCCAATTGCCCCTCAAACCCTATTTTACTTCTTTTCCACCATAATAGTGGAGGGCATCTTTGTAAATAAATTTTTTGTATGCAATGCATGCTATTTTTAATGCATCAAACCAAACAATGCATAAAAATAATCTATGTATAATTGATACAAGCATTACTAATACACTCTATTTAGCATTATTCTTATACACTCTACCAAACGACCCCTAATTGATTCGTAAATTCTCCTTTATCATACCTGAACCACTACAGCACCAGCAGCATCACCAAAGAGAATACATGTCCCTCTATCTGTCCAGTCAACATAGCGAGATAGAGCATCAGCCCCTATAACAAGAACATTTTTAAAGCCACCACCTGCAAGACGGCAGAATTTCAATACTTAGCAGAGCATATATTTACGAATATATAATTCAATATATTGTAGTTATGCTGGTATTGACAACTCAATAATATTTCACACTGCAAAATATAAAATTTTAGGCCACTACTCACTAAATCATATCCTCGAGGGATTTATCCAAGAAGTTAATAATTTTCAGTGTCGTTAATATATTCCAATTCTTTATCTAGAAAAGTTTTTCTCTTATTTGTCTTTCACTTTTTAGTATCCACAAATTGCATGACCTCAAGTTTCAACTTTACTATTCAGGTTGACGATAATGACCTATCATTTTTTTCATGTAACTTATGATACTGAACATAAGCATGCCTTTGTTAGACTTACTTATTAATAACATTTAAGATCATCGACTAAATCCCCACTGGTGGGATTACACTGGGTATGTTGTTGTTATTATCCACTAAAGGGCCATCTCAATCTCCAATTAGGTATAGAACACAAAACATCTCCCTCCAGTTCTAGAACTCTACACTAAGAATAAGAGAGTTCATCAATAACCCAGAAATGAGGTATTTAAAACTGACTGATCAAAAAACTCAGGCATTTGCTTGTTCTCTTTTTGCAAGGAGTGACGACTTTAAATTTTGTTCACATAGTTTCTATTAGTCAGATAGTGTAGTTTCTACTTGTCTCAAAACCATCTATGTGAACTAGACGATTCTAGCTGGGTCCAAGAAATTGAATGGTGAAAGCATAGGACAAAAGCCTATCACATCGGCCATGTTTAAGCACAAGTCCAAATTCAAGTAAAAAATCAGCACTTGAAAGAAAGGGTTGACATAAAAAAAACACTAGGTAGCGTCGGTATTTAAGTGGAGAAGGGTAAAGGGATGGTCCCATCATCCATCGAGTTTCAAACCGTGCGCTATTGACTCTCAGAGATCCCGGTTACAAAAAAACATTGGTTAGGGTCTGGAGCATTAAGGGAAGAAGTGTGGCCAGGCCGCCACAGGCAGGACCAAGTAGCCATCCATTGGTGTTGTTTCCACAGTTCTTGCTGGTCAAGCTATTTTGTGTTTCTGGAATATTGATTGTTCCTGAATCCTCAAGAAACATTAAACATGCAGATCAGATACAGCTAGAAAATTGATAACATGGAATGTGAATTTGGTCCACCTAAAAGTGTTAAACATTCTTAATTCATTCAATGCAAGTTTTGGAGCTCCCACGACATATGAAGGCAATTATGAAAAAAAATGATGAAACACTTCAAGTTATGTTACTTTTACAAGTGAGAAAACACTTGCTTCAAGAAAACTCATCATGGAGTTAATCTTAGGTAGGGAATCTTAAAATAAGAAAGTCAAGTACAGTAAAATAGGAAATCTTAAATTTCTGTGAGTACAGTAAAATTTTCAGTATTAATTAATGGTACCCCTTCTGGTTTCTTCCATTCTGAAAGATGATTAAGGCAGGGAGATCCCCTTTCCCCTTTCCTTTTTATACTTGCTATGGGAGGATTGAGTGATATGTTGAAAAGAGCACAGTTAAACAATATGATCAATCAAGGGTTTCTGGACGAATGATAGTGATATTTTGGGCTTAAATATCTCCCACTTACAGTATGCAGATGACACTACAGTATGCAGATGACACTTTAGTGTTCTGTGGTGCAGAGAAAGAGCAACTAAAGCATCTAAGGGTTTTATTCTGTTCGAAGCTATTTCCGGATTACACATAAACTGGGGAAAAAGTTTTGTCTACCCAGTGAATGAAGTTCCAGATATCAATAGTTTGGCTGGTATCCTAGGAGGCAAAGTGGGACTGTGGGAGAACTACCCACTACCTATCTAGGGATGCCTCTAGGAGCAAAAAGTAAATCCAAGAATATTTGGAATGCAGTGGTGGAAAAATGTGAAAGAAGCTGGTAAATTGGAGAAGCCAATACCTATCTTTGGGTGGAAGATTGACTTTAATCAATAGTGTGCTTGATGCTATGCCAACTTACATGATGTCATTATTTCCTTTGCCAGGGTGTGTCTAAAAGAAGCTAGATTCCATCAGGAGGAACTTTTTATGGCAAGGAAATGGTGAGGGGGGAAAGAAGCATCACCTGGTGAAATGGGATGCTGTCATCAACAACAAAAAAGGAGGAGGAATGGGAATAAAGCACCTCAAAGTAAAGAATCAGAGTATTCTCTTGAAGTGGCTATGGAGGTTTGTCTCTGGAGAACAGAGTTTGTGGAAAGAAGTTATAGCTTCCAGATATACAATGGAAGACCTATGGATAACTAAGAAGCTACAAGCCCTTATGGGATAGGTTTATGGAAAACAATCAGGATCCAGTGGCCTAAATTATGGAGAAATTCAAGGATTGAAATAGGAAACGGAAGGAGGACATCATTCTGGAATGATGTGGGGGCTGGTCAATACCCCTTGAAACAGTTGTACCCTGTGATCTACAATCTGAACCAACAGAAGGAGGCAGCAGTAGCAGATGTCAGGGACAACTAAGGATGGAACCTCTCTTTCAAGAGAAGGTTGAATGACTGGGAAATAGACAACTTCACAGATTTCTTCAATTCTTTGGAGCAGACCAATAACCTTAACACAAATGAAGACAGTCTAAAATGGTTGAGATCCAAAAATGGGAAATTCACAGTAAAATCAGCTTACAGACACCTTGATAGGTCAGCTGCAATGCTCTTATCATGGCCTTGGAAGATGATATGGAAGGTAAAGATACCACACAAGGTGGCTTGTTTCACCTGGTTGGTAGCCAGGCAAGCAGTATTAACTCAGGACAATCTAATGAAAAGGGGAAGGGAATTATGCTCCAGGTGCTTTTTTATGTGAAAGAGAAACAGAGACAACAAACCATCTCTTCATTCACTGTAGAGTGACACTGAAACTGTGGCATGTGTTTTTTAACTTAAGGGGTATCAGTTGGTCCATGTCAAGGCATACATCAGAAGCCCTAACAGCATGGAATAGAGAAGGAAACATGTCAGCCCATAAGGAGAGATGGAAGATTGTCCCTGCTTGCATCTGGTGGACAATATGGAAGGAAAGGAACCAGAGATGTTTTGAAAACAAGAGCATCCCTTTCCAGAGCTTGGAATTGAATTGCCTTATAACCTTTTATTTTTGGTGTAACTTTGTACTCCCCAGTAAGGTGGAGGATATTACTCACTTTTTAGATAGTTTCGGAGGAGTATAGGTGATAGATTATTTGGTTTTGCTAACTTTAAACTCCCCAATGTAATTACTACTGAAATACACTATTGGTGTATTTTGTCTATAAAATGTTAACATTCTCAAAAAAAAAAAAAAGGTCAAGTAATCAGAACAAGCTTTCTGGGAAAATGGTACTGGAAAGCCTCTAATAGTCATAACTCATAACTTCCCAGTTACAACTTGACAGCATATGCTAAGTCATTCTTTAAAAATTACACTGAAATGTTCTCCCTCCTTCCTCTCTACCCCACAAAGAGGTCTGCATACATCTTACCTTCCCCAAACCCCACTTGTGGGATTACACACAGAAAATGTATACCTACCAGTATTATGATAGAAGCATTATTCTTTCACTGAGAAGTGTCATAATCTTTGTCTCCTGTATGTTCAGTTGTCTTCCATAACTTAATCATCTCCAACTAATCATCCAAAATCTTGCTCAAGAATCTAAGACAATGCAAATTGTTTTATTGTTTGACCTCAATTACAGATCACTTGAGGTATATCCAACAAAAGATGATTACCTGGTTCAATTAATCCCTCTATGGCAAAGTTTACAAAGAACTTACGCATCAAAAAAAAAAAAACTTTTACAAAATTCTACCTCTGATATAGCAAGCAGCAGATACCAAACCCAACATGAACCCGCTACAAGCAGCTGTAATGTCGAAAGACAATGGATTGCTTTTGCAGCCAAGTGCTCTTTGGATCTGAGGAAAGAAGTACCAAAAAAGAATGGATAGAGTCCCCAAGAAAATTCTGAAGAGAACATGATTAAATGTATAATTTGACGGTGCAGCAACTTAGTTCATTTGGGTCGGCAGTATAAATCAGAATTAAAAAGTCAGTCAGTTGGAAATGCATGATATAATTAAAGCATTGGAAAAGATAAGAACCAAAACAATTTGAATAATCAAACACGTTCTTTGCAGGGCACAGAAATCTATTGCGAGTATTTAGAAAGACAGATTAGCAGTAACAACACCATTGCTGGCCAGTCACTTGTGACCAGCAAAACCAAGCATTTAGCTCAAAGTTGAACTTCTATATGGACTATCTGTCTGATGTAGGATGACAATTGCGGGAGAAGGGACAAATTAATTTTCCTGAGGAGCAACCTTTACCAAACTAAGTATCTTACCTTGTCAGAAAAAAACATGCAAAGATGATGGATCATCTATCAAATGCCCTGTCAATTTTGGGACACTTCAAACCTTTTACCACGCTAACAGTACAGCTCTCATTACATCATAAATGTACTTTCTTTGTTTTACATAATTTCAAGGGAAATGCATGGGGACACTCAATTATAACAAGGCCCAAATAAATAAAGAGTTGCCCTGGGCCTCTGATGAAACACAATTAATTTCAGAAGTTGTCAATCATTCTTCACTATATTGTAACATCATATGCATATGAATGAGTAAATGCATAATTAACAATAGTATCATGCACACAGAACTAAAGGTGATTAGCTTCATTTAATTGTCTTGAAGGGTGATATCTTTATCAGTTATAATCCTAGTAAATGCAGGAGACAAGTTCATCAACAATATGTTGTGAATGGAAAAAAAGAAAAACTATACATACTGTGAATCAATTCCTACGCATAAACTGTGTTCTATGAAGTAGATATAGCAGAAGGCAAAGAGAATAAACATCTAAACTCAAAAGCTCCATGGCAATGAATTCCATATTATCACTCTGGCTAACTCATGTTATGGGTGTGGAATAAAGAAAGCACTATTGCAGGTTCTTTCTGAACGGTCTGCTGAAGATGGGCTATACCGCTAGAAAGGTAATTTTTCTTGCAATATCGGTTGTATGGAAATATAATGACACTATTCTTCTAGCAAGTTATACCTGTGGAGCACTACCAAAAAGATCCTCGGGAGTTGAACTGCATAGCAAAATTAGGTCAACATCATTAGGATCAACCTCTGCCATCTCAAGAGCTTTCCTTGCAGCCTCTGCAGCCAGATCTGTTAAACTGTCTTTGCCTGTAAAAGCCACATATCAGATTTAGGCTGGTTTACATAAAATACAAAAAGTTGATACATTTTTTCCATCTAAAAAAGAATATAAGTGTTTTACCCCCATTTTACAAAAGGCATTCTGATTTTAAATCATTTATACTACAACCTATTAATGCATGGTTGAACTTTGCCAAGTCATTCGTGTGTATCCACAAAAATTTAAATGTTGACTCTTTTATTTTTGGAATAAATAAACAATTAGGCTATGTTCTACAAATATTCAAAAGGAAACAACAGAGAACACTCATACGTATCCTGATTCCTAAAAAAATTGATTCTATAGAAACATGTCAATCTAATCATAAGAGAACATAAATGTGTAGTGTGTATAGTAAAGTAAAGTATCAAAGCTCTTTGAAATTCTGAGAAAAGGACCGAAAGGATGTATTACAAAGAAATAGGATATCCAATCCACACATCACACTATGGCCCTTTGGGAGTCTTTGGATAGGTACCTTTTCATAATGTGCTTGTACGGTTGTACCAACAGTCCTATAAATTTATATTAGCAATACACTTGATGCTTGGTACAATCATTTTACAAAGCCAATTTTTTTTGGCATTCACAATTTAATCTCAACTAGAATTACTTTTGATTTGACAATGGGCAGATTATCTTTTCTATGATACAAAATTTTAACCAATACGAGTTTCAAAAGCTCTAAATTTGAGCTTCTACCGAAGCGCTTCTTGATAAACTCTAGGAACTAAATGTACTTTTAATTATTCACCGAAGGTTAGAAGCATTTTCGAATGCTACTTGTTTTCTGGATGCACTCTACTCCTAAATGGAGCTAAAGTTTTCTTCTTCTTTGTTTTAACTGAAAAATTCCCCAAGGCCAACTGATGCACAGTTCAAAACTTGGTGGATAATGGGCCCGCCCCTGTACCCTTTTCCACTTAAATACAAGGCTTATATCTGTGTGAGGGTTCAAACTCATGATGTGTATCCACACATCTGCGTCACTTACAACTAAACCAAAGCCTAAGGTGCTTAAGTATTACTATATTTGTTCCCCTAAAACATAAGACAACAGAATCCATCCAGTTAAAAAGTATCAAATCCAAAGAAAGACTTGCCTGAAAGAACTCTACGGTTACGAATTCCTGTCCGAACAGCTATCCACTGATCATTAGTATCAACAATTTTTGCAAGATCATCATTGGATACATTTAGAGATGGTACTGCAGAGCCACATCCTATTAGTTTGCAGCCCCTGTTACCTAGCCTGCACAAGCAAATGAAATATTGAGGTTAAAATGAAGAAACACAGATTCAGCTGAATTCTCTGACACATACTTGAGCCTGCTTGTTAAAATCAGAGTTCTTTGTCAATATGTTAATGAAATGCACCACGACGGCACTCAAATATAACAAAAGTGGAAAGAAGTGAACCTAGTTGGAGCCCTTTTACTCCCTTTCTTTAGGTGAGTTTTTCTTTTTTATTTTCTCCGGTTGGAGCCGATGAGGGAGCTAGAAATTGGCATAACTTGATAACTTCCTCTACAGGCTCCTTTTGGTAAATAAGAAGATAAATCCCGAAGAAGAAATAAAAGGCCAAATTCTACAACCAGGCATAACTATCCACCAAAAAATGTGCTTTCTCAAAATATAATATATCGAAGTTTTTGGAAGTGCCACCATTGTTCTGCCTTCTCACTAGCTCAATTTGCAGGTGTCCAACCATACTAAAAAGGCCATGTGATAATTACCAAGAATTACACGTGAGCAAATCTTTTTATTAAAATGTTTTGAAAAGAAATTCAGAAGGAGGTTCTTTACATTACCTCGATACTCGAGATTGATCCGTTGAAACCTTATCTGCACCTTCAACACTGCTGGAACACATAACGCTATTGAAGGTTCCATCAGAGAACGATTGCCTATCCTGATATATGCCTATAGATGGACAAAATCTCCTCCTTATAGCAGGCACTGCTGGTGTAAAGAACCTATATCATGGTCATTTGCATGTGTTCAATAACACTCGAACAATTAAGACTAAACAACATTACAAAACAAAAGCAGCAAATATGCTCAACATTTTGACTTGATGATGTAAAAAGAGGGAGAACAGAGTATGAGAAGATAAGATTGTTCGTAGACTTTATATATAACCAGGAGGGTAAGGAAAGAACTTACTTTTTTTTATAATAATAAAAAAAAATTAAATCTTTAGCAGTTATTATGGCAGTGGCAGAACAGATATAAATGATTCACACACTTCAACCAAACTAGTTCTGGATTGAAGCTTAGTTGTTGTGGTAACTACTAAATGCAAATATTTCGCTTTGTCAGAACATCACAATCACAATCACATAAATGCACAGCAGCAAATCTTCCCTGTTTAGGGCTAATTCCAAATCTTTAGACAAATAAATCCTGTTCAGATCTTAGATCAGAGATAAGAGTACTTACAGAGTATGTCCTTGTTGCTGCCGTAAAGTACTAACTCCAACCCTCCTAAGTACTTGATGGCGGTGTTGCAGGGAAAATGTAGGACCAGCGGCAATGGTAGTGTTCGCCATTTGTTAATTCCTCAAACAAACAAACAAAAATTGGCTGTACCGATTGCTCTGCTTCACATGAAAATTCAAGAAAACGGAAACCCAGATAGGAAAAAAGGAAATTTAAGAGAGATAAAGATGGTGATGAGAAAAATGATGAGGAATAACAATGTGGGTGTCTAAGTATTTCCGTCCATCTGTAGAATCGAAAGCTTTGGATTCCAGTTCATAGATATCTCCGTCCTCAGCTCAAACGTGGGTTCATGTCTTTGATAGGTTTGGATTCCAGTTCATAGATATCTCCGTCCTCAGCTCAAACGTGGGTTCATGTCTTTGATAGGTTTGCGTATCTGTATTTCACTGCTTTTTCTTTTGAACTAACGATATTAATTAGGCAGAGCTTTTATGAACCTGTGGCTTTGGGGACAACTGACTCACTAACTCTATTTGGTTTTGGTTCAATTTCGTTGGGGGCCGTCTCTAGACTTTTCCAGACTTTCCCTTTTTACGGAGCATCTCCACTGATTTCACGAGATATCATTTATTTATCAATTTTCATCCATAACTATGATAGATGGGGAAAAAATTACTTACAATACATTTAAACATTGTTTGGATGGTTGTTACTATTATATCGTATGGATAGTTAAATACAATATTTATTTTGATTGTTATTTATACTTTGTTTGGATTATCGTTATCTATCGTTTCATGATGTGTTTATTTATTGTGTTGTGTTATATTGTATCGTACCGTATTGTTTTAATGAATTTGGATAGACTGTATCGTTCTTTCTCATTACATATTGTCGTACGTCGATAATTTGAATGATAAATCGACCAGAAAAGTAGGGTATAAGGGGTAGAATTACTATGAAAAAGTAATGTAAAAGATAAAATAGAATTATTAAATAATAAGTAAAGATTAAATGAGAAAAAATATATTAAAGTAACGACGCAATCACACCAAATCGATCGTTACATACAATGAATCTTTTCGTAGTTATAGATTTATTGATACGATAAATAAAATTTGGATAGACTGTATCGTTCTTTGTCGTTATATAATGTCAGACATCGATAATTTGAATGATAAACCTACCAGAATAGTAGGACGTGGGGGGTAGAATTACTATGAAAATGCAACATAAATGATATATTAGTATTATTAAATAATAAGTAAAGATAAAATGAAAAGAAAATATTAAGGTAACGACGCGATCACACCAAATCGACCGTTTTACAAAATGTTTCTTTTTCGTCGTTACCTAACAATAGATTTAAACGATATAATACAAAATATATATAAGTAACAGTCAAAACGAACATTGTATTTAAACTAACAATACAACGGATAACAAGCATTCAAACAAGGTGTTAAATTTTATTGTATCATATCTTTAAATTCATCGTTAATGACGAAAAGTGGAGTAACATTTTGTGTGATTGCGTATTTACCTATTTTTTGTAACATCCGGCAATATGAAATAATTGAAGAGGCTTAGAATTGGAAATTTTCATTTTTTTGGAAAGAATTTAAAGTTTTGGAAATTTTGGCTAAGTATGGAAAATGTGAAATTTTGGCCAACTTTGAACAGCCATAAATTCTAGCTCAGGATGAGCTAGGTGGAATTCCAGTTATGGTTGCAAAGTTCGTGGAACGACCTTTCCAACGCCACCGAGTTTGCTCGATTCCGAGTTCGTATGAGGGAGTTATGACCTTTGAAAGTTGGGCAGTGGACAAGGAAATCCGTCCGGGAATCATTAAGGGCATTTTAGTCTTTTCCCTAGCCAATTCTTTTGAGCTCATATTGTTGTATTAGGATGATCTTTGGACCATTTTTGTCCCATTTTTATTGAAAGAGAAAGAGTTAGGGTTCTTGAGATTGAAGAAGAGAAGAAGGAGAAGAAGAAGAAGAGAAGAAAGAGGAGATTTGTCAAGACCATTGTGGATTTTCGTCGGGGGTGATCCCTACCAAGGTATGTGAGTTTTTCGTGTGGGTTGATCTTTTCCCTCACACACACCAAGTTTATTCTATGCTTTGAGAAAAGATTGGGAATTGTTGTTGAAGTGTCGAAGTTGTTAGTTGTTGTTGATATTGTTGTTGAGGTTGTTGAAGTTATTGTTCGTTGTGAGGCTTGATTGGGTTGTGCATTAAGTTGAAACCTATTGTATGTTGAGGGGATTATGATTCTAAGAGCTATGACCCTTTTAAGGTTGATCCACCATCGATTTGCAGAGATTTCTGGGCTGTCGATCCCCATCTACGGGACTGACCTACGGACCGTAGATCGATCGACGGTCCGTACTGGTCAACCGTCAATCGGAACAGAAGTTGGTTTTTGGGGCATCGATCTACGGTCACGACCTACGGTCCGTGGCCTGACCTACAGACCGTAAGTCAGGACCGTAGGTCAACACTTAGTCTTTTTCTTAAATGAATTCTGGGGAAAATCTCTGACGCAATCTACGGACCTGCAGTACAGACCGTAAGTCCATCTACGGGCCGTCGATGGCGTCCGTAAGTCCTATCTGTGTCACCAGAAATCTGAAGTCTCAGCCAAGTTTCCCCTCTTCTTTTCTCACTTTCTCATGCATGTTCCAAAGTAATTCACCTATGTTTTATAGTTGTTTTCGACGTTCCAAAGTGCGTCTAAGCGTTCAAGAATCCTTCCATAACATGTGATCGAACACCTTGAATTCATAATTCCGATTCAAGGAAAGATAGTTCCAAGTCAAGTGAAGTTTCAAGTCGAGTGAAGAGTCTCAAGTTTCAAGCTAAGACAAGAGCATAAAGTCGAGTCCCTTTTTCCAAAGTTATTAGGAAACTATGTACTTCCCAAATGAGTCTCTAAATGTTTTTACATTTAAGTAAGAAAGGAACCATGTTTTCCAAAAGGGCCTTTGGGCTAAGTTATGAGTAATTATCTCAATCAAAGAAAGAAGTTAATTTAAAAGCATGAGCCAAAGTATTTTTGGGAGTATTATTGAGCACCAAATTGGGGACACGAGTTCATACTAACTCAACTCTCCATAAGAACTATGCGCCAACATGGGACTTGACGTATCATTCTTTTAGATGATCACGTAAGTTTAGGCTAGTGGATCCACTAAGCAAAAGTAAGGTCCTATATCGATGGCAAGGTATAGGATGGTCCTTTGGCAACGTGAGGTAAAACGTTGTATCATCACTAAGGCTCGTAGTGGTGGTTGTCGGTTAAAGAACCTCCCACAAAAGCTGTATTATAATTATAAAAGAAAAGTGGAGTTTGTTGTCATTTTATCCTTAACGATCTAAGTCGTTTACATTCTTTTACAAGCTTTATATGTGTGGCTCGTGTCTTATTGCTTCACTTTGAGTCCAGTTATGTATATGAGTCGTTCAGAGTCAAGGTAAGTGATCTCTTGTTCTCCTTTCAAGCTTAAGTTGTGGTTCCGTTTTTTTCCAGCTCACATATTCGTACATTTCATGTACTGATGCCAGTTGGCCTGCATCGTCTTATGATGCAGATACAGGTACCCCGGATCAGCATCCTGCACGTCGTTGATCCAGCTGAGCACTCCAGAGTCTGTGGTGAGCCTCCTTGCGTTCCGGATGACTCAATTATTTTGTGTACTTAGCTTTGTTCTATTAGGATGTTGCGGGGTCTGTCCCCACATCCATCTCAGTATATTAGAGGCTTCAATAGACAGTCAGGCAGTCAGTCAATCAGTTATCTTTGAGTCTCTCATCCATGTATATATATATATATATATATATATATATATATATGTAAATATTCTATTTTGAGGCTCAAGTTGCCATTTTGGGCCATATTTTATTAGTTAAGTTGTTCATGTCTTTGTATGACGTTGAGTTATTCTGTTGAGTTAGGTTTCCGCTGAGTTAAGAAAGCCAGGCCAAGGGTTCGCCTGGGGCCAGCAATGGTCTCCAGGTGCCGGTCCCGCCCAGGGTGTAGGCTCGGGGCGTGACATTTTTCTTCTTGTTGTTTTGTCTTTACTTATGATTTAATAATCATATTTATTAGGCGAAATGGTCTGGTGGACCCTTATACTTGTATGTGTTTGTATTGTGAACCCTTCTACTTACTCATTTGTCATCTGAACCCCTGAACTCATCAAAACGCAATATTTTAAACACGTTTTTTACCATTCAACTGTGTGTGTATCACAAACGCCTGCCACGTAATTTTAAAAATAATTAAAAAATGATACGTATGATTATAAAATGACACATGTATATATGGTCACTCCATGTCACTTTTACTTTTATTATATTTGATTAATATACCTATACTTTCTCTTTCCAATTTTTATTTCTATTTGCCATTGCCATCTGCATCTCCATCCCCACAATCTCATTTCAACTTTTTCTTATCTTCCTTACCCTTTTCCTTTTTCCAACCTCTTCTACTTTTTTCATTGAAGTAAAAAATGTTGGCACGGTTTGGGTTATGTTGGATTGAGGTTTTGGTGGCAGCCGGTGGCGCTAAGGAAAAGTGGGGGTCTATTGGGTGGTCGAATTGTTTCTAGTTGTTCACAACTGGCGGCGTTATGAAAGTCGAGACTTATTGGAGGAGTTAGTTTGGGGTTTTTGTTGTTGTTGTTGGTTCTCATTTATAGTTGTTGGTTGAAGCTTGTCGGAAATGGTGAGAACGAAGGTAGTTTGGTTGGAGAAGGTGAGGAGGACGAGAAAAAGGCAATAAGTTTGGGTTTGGTTTGAAACAAGGGGTCAATGTCAAAAATTATTTGAGTTTTTTTGTTTGATTTTCAACTTATCTAGGTAGGTTTTCCAATTTATTTTCGAATTTATTTGTTGTTTAGCTTGGATTTGATCTCTATTTGTGTCTTTGTTTGGTTTTGGGGTTTTAATCAATTACATTGACTTTGTTGAAATTCTTTGGGGATTTTGCATTTTTGTGCCTAATGTTAGTGTAAGATATTTCGGTAGTAGTGTTATGCCTTCTATGGTGTTTTTCATAGAAAAAGAGAGCCGTATAATAACAAGAAACGATAGAGAAGAATTTTTTGGAAAAAAGATTGGAAAAGAGGCCAAGAAAACCTCAATTTTTGTCCAACAATGGTGTTAGATGCAAATAGAAAGATGATGGCTTTACAAAGCCCTAATGTGGTTGTCAGACCCTTTTCCAAGGGTCTCCTAATAGGTGTGTGTCACACGCTCTTTAGTAGTAACTGCCACATAGGATGCCAAGTCAAAAAATGTGTTTAAAATATTGCGTTTTGATGAGTTCAGGGGTTCAGATGACAAATGAGTAAGTAG